TCGACCGCAACGCCGCCCACTACCTCTCCTCGCGCGCGCACATGCGAGGCGCCGCTCCGGCGCAGAACCGGCCGCTCTTCTTCAAGGCCCTCGGAGAACCAACAAATCGGGACGATCGGAATGGGTACTCCAGATTTCGTAATAAAAGGGAGGGGGTCTGGACCCTCCAAGACAAGCCATTTCAGACCCCCCCCCCGTGGGAGAACCCTCCAAAACATCGTCCCCAGACCCCCCAGGCCCTCCAAGATAGCCTGGAAGATACCCCCCCCGAAATGAGACCCCCCTCCCTTTATTACGAAATCTAGAGTACGGAGAGAGATGGCACAGGGGAAACGTAAGACTCGAGTAAGCCGGAACTCGAGTTCGCCGAATCTGTTTTGGCGAGCGCGTCCTAGATTTCGACGGTCCAGTTTTCGTGGGATGTCTGCAGCGGGAGTTCGCGTCAAATTGCAGATTTGGCCTCGTCATTTTTAGGATGACCCTGTCAGGCTAACCCGAGCCCCCTGTGCCCGAGTCTTACGTCTCCCTGATCGTATGAAGACCGACAGCAGCTCCTGCCCCTTCGGAGCAGGAGTCGCTGGCGGCGCCGCCGCGGACGCTGCCCACGTGAGACAGAAGGCCGCCTGGCCATCGGCGGCCGCTGTCGGTTTGGGGCAACATCTGCTGTTGGGCATCGTACCCATTTTTCCGTACTCCAGATTTCGTAATAAAGGGAGGGGGGTCTCTTTTCGGGGGGGGTCTCTTCCAGGCTATCTTGGAGGGCCTGGGGGGGTCTGGGGACGATGTTTTGGAGGGTTCTCCCACGGGGGAGGTCTGAAATGGCTCGTCTTGGAGGGTCCAGACCCCCTCCCTTTTATTACGAAGTCTGGAGTACCCATGCTGGGCGTCCACAACGAATGCATGAACATGTTTTCTCGGAGGTCCGCGCGGATTCCGTGGATCGTCGAAGGGTTCCCTTGACGGCGCCTCCAGCGCCGCCTCCGGCGCGCTCCGCGCGCCAGGGAAGGGGGTCCAGCGCCGATCCAAGAAATTCGCGCGGACCTCCGAGGCAGTCCAGTCAAGACGCTGAGACAAGGACCCTTTTGGGCTCAGGAGGGGCTCCGATGTTCGGGCCGCTCCTTAATTCTAGGTTGGGGAACTTGTCCGCGGCCGAGGTTCGCTGCGGCCAGAAAAGCCCCATCGTGTCATAGTCAGCATTATTTCTGGTAGCGCGATGGCTGTGTGCTTCTGCAGTTTTTTCTGTTGCTCCTGTAGTCTAGGCCTCCTAGATGGCGTCGGAGTAGATGGGGGAGGAGGATCGCCCCGCATCGTCGATGCATCGGCGATGCGGCTCGATGTGGAGCCCGATTGTCTCCACGCCGATGGCGCCGATGCGTCGGCGATCTGGCGCGATCCTCCGACCCTCTTTACAGTCGTACCGAGGTATACGATCGAGGTCGGCTCGGGGAGGGTACCCTAATGTTCTCGTGCTTGTTGGGTGATGTTGTGCATCCTGGGGATATGCTGTGTGTTTTGGCCAGCAGAGGGTCTCAAGTTCTTGGAGGGTGTCCTTCTGGCCTAGGTCCGACTGTACGGTAGGTTCACGTCGTGCCGACAGGCGGCGGCCCCGCCAGCGGCATTCCATGTTGAACGCCGCTGGCGACCCAGAATCGTTCGATGTGGAACGGTTTGGACGTTTCGGAAACGGCCGCTCGTTCAACAAGGACGCCCTCGAGGGCGCGAAGTTATTCGCGCTTCGCGTTTCGGCTCCCATTCCTCCTCGTCCTCCTTCTCTCCCCTGGGAGGCGGCGCGAGGGCGCGAACTTATTCGCACTCCGCGCCTCGCGCAGCGCGAAGCGCGAAGCTGGGAGCCCTTGTTCAAGGGTCGAACGATCCCCGCGGTGTCGGCAACCAACGCCGGGGTCGACGCGGCACGCACCTGCCGCACTCGGACCCCGCCCAGGAGGCCTCATTCGCCAGGCCCTGCCGCCGCACCTGGCGGGCCTCGCGCAGGAGGGCCCCGGCGCTGCTGCGCCGCCGGCCCGCGGCAGCGTGCCGCGGCAGACGGTGCGCTGGCAGGCGGCGCAGGCCATCGGACGGGGCTGGGACGAGGACAACTCCGTCTCAGAGCGTTCTTCAGGGGCAACGGCAACGGGGGGATAGGCACAGGGGGGGGATGCATCGACCCCTAATCGCCCATTGGTCGCCGAGAGGGGCCCGATAGACCCACCCCGCCCAGGAAGGTGCGGGTTCCCTATCTGGGGCCCGTCGCCGACCTGTCGACGATGTATCGCCGGTTCCAGGTCGATGCATCCCCCCCTATGCCAGTCCCCCCTATCGTTGCCCCTCAAACTCCGTTCCAGAGCGTTCTGGGACGCTCGCAGAGCGTTCTGGAAAGCTCTGAGAAGGCCACGGCGCCCGAGTCATCCTCCAGAACCGCCGGATCTCAGAGGCTCGATTTTTCCTTACCCGAATTCATCTTCGTCCTGGCTTCGTCTCAGGCCACGGCTGCCCCGCCGCGCGCGAGGTTCTGCGCGTACTGCGGCAGCCCCAAAGAGGGAGACGGCAGCTTCTGCCCCAGGTGTGGCCAGCGCTGGCTGGCGTGAGGCCGTCCCATCCATCTGGGAGACCGTCCATCTAGGAGACCGTACCTTAGGCAGGCGACGGTCTGAGGTGGCCCAGGACTGGCTCCGGCCAGCAGGAAGGGCGGGCAGGTTCCAGGTTCTGGGCTCGGGTTTTTGTCGCGCTTTTGCTATCGTTAGTTGTTCGGCCTCTGGGGGCTGTTTTCGGGCACTGGGGCAGTGAAAAACGGATCTGGTGTGAAAAACTGTGCCAGATAGATCCTGGCCGATTCTCTGGGGTCCCACCGTTTCAGACCCTCCAGCCGCCTCCTAGAACGATGTATTGGATCAGCTCGTTGCCTGCAGTATCCGCACACTCGTCTACACATAGGTTTGAGTATTTGCATGTCTAGATACAACACGCTGGAACATCCTGAGGAGACTGTTCGTCGAGAGGCGCGGGTGGCCGTCTCTAGCCATGCGCTGGCGCCCAGAAGGCCCAAATGTACTGACTCAATCGACAAGTTTTTCCGAGCTCGTTTCAACACCAGTTTGGAGCGTGAGTTGCACAATGCGCGCGGCAGGTTTTCGGATAAATTTCGGGCTGAGTATTTGTCATACATGCACACCGTCGTGTAGCAATATCCATGAGGCTTGATAGGGTGTCTTTTTGATTCTCACCCGTGCATGTTTTTCCACACTGCGCGATTCACGCCGTTCCCGCAAGCGGGACGAGACGTCTCAGGACGCTCGATCGGACGGGCTGTTCTTTTCTGTTACTTCACGTCGCAGGTTTTTCATCCCGCGGTCGTGAGTCTACCTACGCCTTTGACCTTGGACGTCACGAGAGTGAAAGACTCTCCCTATCTCACCTGCCGACCGCTCTACTGGAGCTGGACACGGTTGCCAATTGGGGGGCGATTATATGGTGCCGGTGAGGGCCCTGAACAGCTTCGCACAGTGACGCGGAGGCGGTCCACGATCGGGGGGGCCCGATGAAGGGCCACCACTGGTGGCCACGATACAGTCGGGGCGCTGAGGAAGGCACCTTTTTCGTTGGGGAGGGGCTCGGTGTTCCTTGATTGTTCTGCAGTTCGCCTCGGGTTTTCCTGAGGTTTTCCGTGGGAAATCGAGGTTCAACTTCTGGGTAAAAAGGGGCCCCGTTCCTTATTGAGGGTTCCTCCAGTCAGCGCCCCGACTGTAGAGGGCCATGATTGGGGGGGGCCACGAGGGGCGGCCACGGTGGGCCGCCGATGTCGGGGGCCCGGGCTCCCCCAGTGGGCGTCGATCGGGCCGGACGAAAGGGGGGGATTGGGGAAGGGGGGGTTACGAAATTTGCTGCATGCAGCTGGTTTCGGCCCCACCGAGGGGCCCATTCCTCGATGCATAGCCGCCTCCGGCGCCGGGAGGCGCCGGGAAAATCAGCTGCGTGAGCTGATTCTCAGACCCCCCCTTTGCTACCCCCCCCTTTCGCCCGACCCGAGTCGAGGCATCAGATTTGAGCTCTTGCAGAGAAGCTGTTCGGGGAGTGCCCCTCCGAAGTAGAGCACCGATCTTTCTCCGCCGTGCGGCACGGCTGGTCACGGCCGACCTATGTCTCGGCATCGCTCGGACGTGTGCATGTTTCCTTCGGCGAGGACCATCGAGGAGCATCCTTGATGATTTGGCGAAAAAACCACGCACGAAACCGGAAAAAAACACAGGGAATGGACGTCCGAGCGATGCCCAGATTTTAACCTGGGGCCACGCTGGTGCTGACGAGATGCTCTGGCGCGTTCCAGAAAGGACCTCCGTCTTCAAGGAGCCGCGCAGGACACAACTCTTCCCGGGCGGATGGCGGCGGAAGGCTGGCGGAAGACGGCGGCAATAAAGCGGCGGCGGATGCGCCAGCGGACGCCAGTGGAAGGCCGGCGGAAGCGCGCAGAATAAACATTCCGTCCTCCAAGAGATGCGAAGTTGTTTTGATCGAGGGCTTCTGGAACGAGCAATTTTGCTCGTTTACGGCTTCCAGGTGGTACCGCGGAAGGCGTTTGGCATCTGGCCCGCGGCGCCCGCCGAAGGTTCGGACACTCCGGCCATCCGTCGGCATCGCGGCCAGTCCCGTTCCCAGGACTGGTGTCTTGTCGGGAGCCAAGGAGGAGGGGGAGGAGGAGGGAGAGGAGGAGGAGGAGGAGGAGGAGGAGGAGGAGGCGGAGGAGGAGGAGGGGAGGAGGGAGGAGGAGGAGGAGGAGGAGGAGGAGGAGGAGAGAGGAGGAGGAGGGGGGGGGGCAGGGACAGGGCGGGTTGCCAAGCCGGCTTCGCCCCAGCGAGCCCTGCGATCCCGCCGGGGTGCGTTCACGAGTCGCGCGAGAGCGAGGCGTCTCCTGATGCCCCTCCGTCCTCCTCCCCTCCTCCTCCTCCTCCTCCTCCTCCTCCCTCCTCCTCCTCCTCCTCCTCCTCCTCCTCCTCCTCCTCCTCCGCCTCCGCCTCCTCCTCCTCCTCCTCCTCCTCCTCCTTCTCCTCCTCCTCCCCCTCCCCCGGGGCTAGGCGCGTCTCCTGATGCCCCGCGGGGGCCAGGCGGTGCCAAGCGGCCGCGCTTGCGGGAGTTACCGGGAATGGTTTGAGGCCAGGAGGAGTGCGCATAGGCAAAGCGTCTTTTCTCCGCGCAAGGATTTGGGATGTCAGTTCGCACCTGCCTATGCAGACTTGTTTGGGCGGGATCTGCACCTACCTCTTCGTCCCAAGCCTGTGCTGCAGCAGTTTTGAAGTGTCTGCTCGTGTGAGTGCTCTTCTTGGACCCGGCAATCCACGACAGTTTGGTCCACTGTGACGCACAGGCGGATTCACCAGTGGCGGATTCGAGATTGGACATCTCTCCATGCTGGTAAAGTCGGGCCAAAGTTGATGGCAAGCAATATAAGCTTTCTCGTTTTGTGCGCCGTCATAGTGCGACGCGCCTTTCTTCGGCCGTTGTCTGCGGCTTGACGCAAGCCCACGCCGAAACAATTTTCGCTCTTCGCCATTCGCATTGCCACAGCGCCACTGGTTGCGCGCCTTGTCGCCTGCCCCTCCCCTGCGCCCCCCACTCCACTCTCCCTTCTGTCCCCAAGTGGGAGGGGGCAGGGAGGACAAGAGAAGAAGCCAGCAGGAGGGCAGCTCGACGCGCTGTGGCCAGCACACCCACTGCTGCTGTCGGCGGTGGGAGGTTGGCAGCCCCCGCGGCCGTTTCTGTTGCCAGCTGCTCCCCCTGGGGAGGATCAGGTGGAAGGGTTAGGATGAAGAAGGGTGACTAGGAGGAAGGAAAGGCAAGAACGATAAGAAACATCAGGACGAGGAGGAGGAGGACGAGGACGCGGAGGAGGAGGAGGAGGAGGGAGGAGGGAGGAGGGGAGGAGGAGGAGTAGGGTAGCAGCAGGCCCCCGTCCCCGTCCCTGCTAAAGGTGAGGGACCTAGAGGTGACGCCTCCCCATAGACTGTTTGTTAGAGTCGGGGCTCCCCGTGGTGTTTTGTTTTAGGTGTGGGGCCTACACTTCGGGCCCCGCCAGGGCCCTGGGTGCCCCTTGCGACAAAATTGACCAGCAGCAGCGCAAGCAACTACTCAGAGGGAAGTTGCCGTGGCCACGAGGAATGCATGTCTCGAAACCCTGGCCTTTAGCCCGACCTACGGAGTTGGGAGAGTGGTGGGCCAGGCTTCAACACGTTTGAATACCCATACGACCACCCTTCGGGTGATAAGGAGGTTCGGGGGGGGGGAACCAACGTCTCACTCGATCGGTCTCACTATCGATCTCACTATCGATCTCACTCTCGGTCTCGCTCGATCGATCTCACTCGATCGATCTCACAATCGATCTCACTCGATCTATTCCATTCGATCGATCTCACAATCGATCTGACTCTTGATCTCACAATCGATCTGACTATCGATCTCACAATCGATCTGACTATCGATCTCACATCCGGTCTCACTACCGATCTCAATATCAATATCACAATCGATCTCACAATCAACGTCATCATCATCATCAACATCATCGTCATCAACGTCATCAACATCATCATCATCATCGTCATCATCATCATCATCATCGGGACACCATCATCATCATTACCTCATCACCATCATCATCATCATCACCATCACCATCGGGACACCATCATTGTCACCACCATCATCATCATCAGCATCATCATCATCATCGGGACACCATCATCATCGGAACACCACGATCATCATCACCACCATCTCATCATCATCATCATCATGAACAGCATCATCGACATCATCATCGTGGCACCACCGTCATCATCAGCAACACCATCATCAACATCATCAGCATCATCATCATCGGGACACCATCATCATCGTCACTATCACCATCATCATCATCATCATCGGGACACCATCATCATCAACATCAGCATCATCACCATACTCGGGCCACCATCATCATCATCATCAACACCTCATCATCATCCTCATCATCAACATTATCATCATCATCATCATCATCATCATCATCATCATCATCGGGGCACCATCATCGTCATCGTCATCATCATCAACAACATCATCATCATCATCGGGACACCATCGTCATCACCATCATCATCAACAACATCTTCAACCTCATCATCACCAACATCGGGACACCATCATCATCATATTTATCATCATCATCTCATCACCATCATCTCATCATCATCAACATCATCAGGATAATCAACATCACCATCATCATCATCACCATTATCATCGGGACACCGTCATCATCCACAACATCATCATCATCATCATCAACATCACCATCATCGGGACACCATCATCATCATCACCACCATCACCATCATTATCATCGTCAACATCATCATCATCATCATCATCATCATCATCATCATCATCATCATCATCATCATCACCGGGGCACCATCATCATCACCACCATCGCCATCCTCATCATTATCATCATCAATCATCGTCATCAACATCACCATCATCAACATCATCGACATCATCATCACCGTCATCATCGGGACACCGACGGGACACCGGCGGGACACCAGCGGGACACCGCGCGCCACCGGACGCCGGAAGGGAATCATTTGGTCCAGCCGCGCCTCAGCCACAGCGGGACACCGACGGGACACCGCGCGCCACCGGACGCTGGAAGGGAATCATTCGGTCCGGCCGCGCCTCAGCCACAGGAGACTTTCCTATCGCCCGCCCACGCAGTTTCGCCTCGCCCGCACGCACGGCACGCACGAACACGAAACCGAAACCGATTTCCCGGTAGGGGGGCTCTCCGTTCCACTTCGATCTCACCCCCTCACCTCCGATTAGTAAATTTTCCGCCAGCCCTGCCGAGCCCAGTTCGAGGGAGCAATGCGAGAGCCTTTGGAAAAAGTGGAGCAGCAGGACGGGGGATGACGACGACGCCGACCACGGGTGACTGGCCAACGTCGCCGTCGCCGTCGCCGTCTTGGTCGTCGTGATCGTGGTCGTCGTCGCCGCCGCCATCGGTCTGGTCCTCGTTTCCGCTGTCTTACTCGCCTTCGGTGTCGCCGTCGTCGCCACCGTCATCCCTGTCTCTGTCGCCGCAGCCGCCGCTGCCGTCACCCCAGACATCCGACGCTATACTTTTTCAATTCGCGGCCCCAGATCTCCCACTTCCTTTCACGGGGTAGTTGTTCCTGCCAGATATGTTTTTGATGGGCCTGGGGCCCGATAGCCCGATAGCGGCCATCGATCGTCGGAGATTTGGGACCGTCGTCGCTGGCGTCGTCGGCCGTCGTCGGCCGTCGTCTCCGCTGCCGTTTCGGGAGATAAACATGAGTTTGGCGAAGGACGCAACCCAATGCAGCCTCGAGATCTGCAAGGCGAGTGGTGGAACGAAGGAGGAGACGAGAAAACTGCGAAGAGCGCCAGATGCGGTCCTCCCATCTGCAGCGCGCCACAGAAACGACGGGGCACGGGGCACCACCATCACCATATAGCCGTACATCCAGCAGGACGCGTTGGCACGACAGCCGCATAGGGCCGCCGAAGGAAAACAAGTCTAACACTGCAACTCAGAATCTCGCTGGAGGGGGGGGAGGAGGGAAGACTGAAAAGGTCGAACTACGTAGCAGAAGGGGTGCTCAATTGTGCTGACACAGCTTGTGCACTTCTGAAGTCCATTGCTGTCTCGGCTGGCCACGACGCCGATGTTCCACCCAAGTTTTCGGTGTACCATCTTGTTGGCATACCATCTGACGGACGAGCGACACAGGCCCACCTGATTTTTTGTGGTGCAGGTTCTTTTGTCTGCCCAATAACACTTGAGAAAGAGGCTCGACGCCAGCCCTGTCTGGAGCGTCTGCGTTTGTAACTCTTGAAATCAACGAAGGCTGGACACCTAACTTGCGCCTCAGACAACGGCAGTGGAACGCATCGAGCCTGCGTCGGTCAGCTTGTAATAGCCAGAGGGAATCGAGGGAATATAATAATTTGCCCAGGACGCAGCTATCGTACAGTTTGTGTTTTCTTTTCCAGCCCAATGCTGCATGGGACCAAAGTTTTGCGAGCTGCTTGAAGATACGTTGCGCTTCGCCGAGGCGCCCGGTGACCTCTGGCGTCGGTTTGCCATCGCAAGTGAGCATTCCACTCAAATACACTGCTTCCCGGACAACTTTGATCGGGCCTCCACCAGGTCATTCTGCCGCGTCGTTCGTCGAGATATGCATTTGGAGCGTCTTGTCCCGCTTGAGTTCAAGACCATATTTCTGCCCCTCCAGTACAATAGCATTCAGCATGCTTTGAATATTAACTTTGCTGCGTAAGGCCAACAACGTGTCGTCTGCGTACAAGATGTCTCGCGTTACTACGTAAGCCGGCTCAGCCTCGAAAGCTAGATGTTGAAAAGCATCATGAAGCATGACTGACTGCACAGCGATTAATGAGTAAGGTGAGAGAGGGCATCCTTGAGCGATGCCAGCCATTTGTCGCCTCTCTTTTGATTGCCCGCTGTGGTCGGCAATGGTTAAGAAGCGCTCGGCATCAATAACTTTGACCATGTCCACCATATCCGCAGGAAGCCCAAATCGGCGCAGAGCGTCGCACATGCTCTCTGGTTTGAGTCTGTCGAACGCCTTGGCCCAATCCAACATTAACA